TCAAACATATTTATTATCAAACTTTAAACTATATATTGGTTTTATTTTCAACTCTGAACAATCAAATCGATTAATAGATTATGGACCATCACCTGAAGATGAGACAGCAGCTTCACAATTTCGAAAATTGTGGGGAAAGAAAGCAAAAGTACGAAGATTTAAGGTAGTATACTATAATTTGTGGTTTGGAAGTAAAAGTTTCGTTTTTGATATACCTGCGGTTACTTTTTTGATAGATCTACAATGTACCCTAAATTTAGGTATCGTTCTTTAGTATTGTGCATAGTAGGCTGTGTGACAGATAATATAAAATACTATTTATTAATGGATGTGCCGCGCAATACACTTTTTTATACTATGCAAAAAAATGCCAGGCAAGCCCACCCTAGTGCAAAGTACGACACATTTTTGACATTTGAACTAATAATTATAGCAAGTAGCTCTTGGCAAAAATTTTGGAAATAAAATTTTGGCACTGAATACGATCATTTCGCATAAGGCCATACGTACAAATATTTTTTTTTTGGTTTTCATAACTTAAAATTTTAAAAGTGAAACGGCAACCCGGCTTTTTGTTTTAAATTATAAATAAAAAAAAATATAAAAACATGAAATTATATATATTTTGTTAAAAAAAACTAACCCGGAGATTTTTATAATGAAATTTTTTTTCAAAGGTCTACGTACAAATTTTGACACGGCCGGATTACGTAAACCAAAAAAAAATTTTATTTCGAGTGAGCACATAATTTGGACCAATCGCAGGCATTTATTTCGCATAATGCTGAGGTCCCCAAAAAGGAACAACTCTATCTTTAAAAGGTGATTTAATCAAAATTTTACAAAATTAAGCCTGTTACATTAGTACGTTGATTTTACACGATGGACTTGAACTTTGACACGTTAAAAAATGAACATAAACATTACTAAAATTGAACCAAATGCTAGAGAAAGTCAACGATAATTTTGATCAAGCAAGTAAAAATTTTCTGATAAAGATAGGTTCTTAATTTTTGTTATAATTCCTTTTTTTTTTTTTTTGAACATTTCATTTACTGTATTTCATTTTGATGTCATACAATTATGAATCACGACAAGCAATTTTCTAATACCGTTGAGCAAGCGGACCAATTCTTGATGTCTGGATAAACATCTTGTCTCAAAGTATCCATACTCGAAATTTAATTTCAGATCAAGGTTCTACTGCGGGTTGTAATTATTTTCGATATCGTGCTTTAAGTAAATATTTGAAAGAAATAAACTCATTTTCTTATGAATGAGATTTTTGAAACTAGAAAGGAAATACAGCGCGTATTAGGAGAAAGTGAACGTCAAGAGAAGTTGATGAAATTACAAGAACAATACGAAAAATAGGTCAAAGTAAATAATCTTTTTTTTTTTCTATAATATAATTAGTAATTAGTATTAAAAAAAAATATCTACTGATATGAAAAATTAATATTTAAATAGGGATGTACCCGGTCTTAAAGTAGTCTGGTTCTAATCTCTGCTAAACACTGGTCCAAAACTAGTAATTTGACTAGTCTAAAAATAAATTACATGTCACTAATATATTTTATATTAAATTTTGATATATCCTTATTGTTATGTCAATATAAGTAGTGACGTATACGTATAATTCGGAAGTTGTTCATTTTAAACGTCTGCGCTAATTTGTTTAATGATCTAAATAGTAGAACCGATTACTTATAACTCTGGTCAAATTTGCAGATCATTTGGCCAAGTTCAGAGTTTTTAATACCATAATCCGGCAAAATTTGACCAGAACCGATTACTACTATTTAGATCATTAAACAAATTAGCGCATACGAATATACGGTAGTTTGTAATAATGTAATACTGTACTAATATTTCTATCCAAGCTGACCATTTCATGTTATTTTATATAAATTTCAGTAAATTAGATTTCATGTAATTTTTCTCGTGTATACCAATATTATAGAAGTTTACCCTGTACTATACAACATTTAAATAATGAAAATGATGAAAAATTACATGAAATCTAATTTACTGAAATTTATATAAAATAACATGAAATTATATATATGTAATTGTTAATATTATATTAAAAAATCTGTTGTTTTTAATAAAGATAAAATTCATTCTTTAAAAATATAAAAAGATAAGATAGTTAGTAAAGGTGGGGTTTGTTCATTTAGAAAATATAACGAAATAGATAATATCGGGTTCATGTTTATGTTCCAAACTAAGGAGCAAAAAGAACTAATGAAGTTCGCAAGGGTTGTATGTTTAGATGGAACCCATGGCATGAATCATCATAAATATCATCTATTTACGCTTATTATAAAGCATCCAATAGTAGGTAGTGGGTACCCAGTCGCATTTTTGATAAGTGAGTTTAAACGAACATCGACATTAATGGAATGGTTTGATTTTTTGAAACATGAAAATGAGGAATGGAGACCAGATATATTTATGGTTGACGATGCAGGAGAAGAAATTAGATCATCCCAAGATAGTTTTCCTGATAGCTCTGTGTTTTTGTGCCATTTTCATGTTTTACGGTCTTGGCGTAGAAAACTTGGCCATAAACGTGGCACAAATAATGACCTATCAAAGGAAAAAGTTTGGGGTGATCTTTGGCGGCTACTAAAAGTAGAAGGATGGTCTGATGCAGATGCCCGAGCAGAGATTGCAAATACAATTAATTCCTGAAGAGAAATGAAAATTGATGCAATTAATAATTTTTCTGATTATTTTGAACATTGGTAGAAGCCAAAGTACAAAATGTAGATGATTTCTATAAGAGGGGTTTTAAGAGATATAATGAATACAAATAATTTAATTAAATCATTCCATTATAAACTAAAATATACTTACTTGAGAAGACGACCAGGCAAGAATTAAAACTAATCAAATTTTTGATAATTTATTTTATAATCAGTTTTTTTTTAATTTTTTTTTATTTTTATTAATTTTTTTATAATCATTTTTTTTTTCTTAATTTTTTTTTATAATTATTTTTTTTTTCTTAATTTTTTTATAATCATTATTTTTCATGTTTTTTATTTTATTTTATAATTATTAATAGTCTACTTATACTAATTTTTCTGTTTCTATAAGCAGACAACTTAACAGTAAAGTGTATTTTCTTACAGAGGTTGTGCTTCGCGATATGAATTTTTCTGTTTTTATGAATGAATTAAAATTAACAGAATGAGTATATGACAGCATCAACAACGCATCTAAGAAAATGCAGGAACTATGCATATTAATAACAATAATATTTACAATATCTAATCTAATTTGTGGATAGTACACTCTCTAACAAATAATGATTTAGAATATTCAGTTAGAAAGAAAGATACTGCAACAGATAATGATTGTTTTGATATTTACTCTTATATTTTGTAATTGTCATAATTTTCAATTATGACAATTGCCATGCAAACACATATTCACAATATTAACACAAAACTATCTAAATAATAAAAGTGCAGAATACAATCAACTACTCATGGAATCTGGTCCTTCCGATATTTATGTTTCATGTAATTTTTCTACAGATAACAATGATAAGGATACACAACTTACAAAGCTACATGAAGATCTTGCCGCAATTTCTATAGAATGGCAGGATAAAAAAGGTGAAGATATTTACAGGCTACGAATGGCTTTACAACTAATGATTCAAACAGAAAGAGAAAGAATTGCCAGAATTGAATCGGTTCCACAAGATACCATTATTAATGAACAAAGAACCCAAATAAATCGAATTGCTCCAAATACGAAAATTAGATGTCAAATTAAGTATTAATTAATTTTTTTTTTTTGTTTTGTATACATATATCGATATATTTAAATCTACTAATGCTAATTAGAACAAGCAAAATGAAATCTGA